ACACGTGTGTTACTATAATTTCTTTGTTTTTTAAATCAAAACATTATCAATAATGCTTTATGTACTCACTTTTATACACACCTTATACTCATCATGTTTGTGGAGAGTTTTCTTTGTTTGTGAACCCGGGTTCATAGACAATATTTTGTCTGTGCAAAATATTTTCTGTGAGCAGGAGTTCACGAACAAAAAAAAAACATTTCACAAACATAGGTGTGTACAAAAATGGTATAAGAGTGGGTACAAAGATCATTTTTGAAAAATTATCCCTGGAATTAAAGAGACCGACCTTCAATTCTTTCACCAGTAAAAGCAAACAAAGACCGATACCTCAAATCCATCTCCAAAAGAGAGAAAATACCCAATTCATCAATCAAACAAAATAAGAACGAAAAATCAAGTAAATTAAACCACACGTGAGGGCTCTAATCATCATCGCCTTGGAATTTTTTGGGCTTCCGATAGTTCTCCTTCACCTGCTTGGCGACGAAGACGTTGGTTGATAAAACTTGTGTCTGTGGTCTAAAATGGCGGAGCAAGAAGCAGAGAAATTAAAGTTGGCGACGAAAACAGGGAGGGCATTTTCGGTCTGGCCGAAAATGTGTGCCATAATAATCTTCCCTCAAATTCATTTTAATTACAAGAATACCTAAAAGCAGTTAGAAGTTGGTATATACCAGCTTCTAGCTTTTGGCTTTAAAGTGTTTTTTTAATTAGAAGCAGGGTTTGACAAACACTTCTTTCAGCTTTTTAAGCTAAAAGCTGAGAAGTGCTTAAATTAAGCATTAACAAACACTTCTTTAGTTGCGTGAGCTGCGTTAGTTTTGATAAAACTGCCACTTCAAGTGGCGGCTCTTGTACTGTAAGAGAAAAGCCGTCATTTCAAGTGACAGCTTTTCTTAATCACGGTTAATCCAGCAGTATTTTGGGAATTATTTCTAACTTAGCAATATTTTGGGAATTATTTATTTACTTAGCATTATTTCAGGAAAAACCCTACTGTTCATATACTACGTACTTCTTAGGATGTTTTTACTTGGACTGTAATTTGCACCAGACCAGACCAAACCAGACCAGTCCAGACAAGACCAGACCAGACCAGACCAGACCAGACTTGGATAGTTATAAAATACAAAGACACCAGACCTTACCAGACCAGACCAGACCAGTTCAGACCTGACCAGACCAGACCAGATCAGACCAGACCAGCAAATTACAGTCCAAGTAAAAACATCCTTAATGACATGAATAAGTGTTAGTAGTCACTCACAAAAAATGTAGACACTACTGCTCACTAGTCACGAGTAGTGACATTAGAAACGGCATAAATTAAAGTAGACATAGTAAATTTTTGTTTAACCTCTCTTTAAACTATATGAGTACAATCTCTATCACCAACACCAATATATGCATTTGTTGCATAAAATACACATTAACCTATCTTTTAACAATCATTTTGCATTAGTGGTTTAGCAGTTCGTATACCGTGTGATCATCCCACGGTGAACACCGCTCCACGGCCCAAACGATGCAGTTTTACACAAATTTTTTTTTAAATTTCTCGCGTGAACAATACACGTGTGTGTATAATAATTTTTCTTTTCTTTTTATCCCAGAAGAATGAATGATGTAACTCGCGTGTAATGAAATGTAATTCACATTATTGATCAATGTAACTCAAGTCCATTCGAAATGTAACTTGTCAAATACATACTCCCTCCGTCCCTAAAAATACTTCCAACTTTTCTTTCTGGGCGTCCCAAAAAAAACTTCTATTTTCTCTTTTTGGCAAAAAATTTGTGGTTCACAGCAATTCTTACACATTTCTCTCTCATCTGCACAATTCTCCACCACACAATACCCACTATCGTAATCCCCGTGCCAATTGTACCATGGAAGTTCTTTTAGGGACGGATGTAGTAGTATAAGAAATAATATATATATTGATTTCAATGTAAACAATGGGAAAATGGAGTCTAATTGCACAATTACTTTAGTTAAAATGTGAATGTTTTGTTTTCAATACCATGACCATAAAAATTTTTTTTTTCAATCATTTTTTTTTGTTTCAATATCAGGGGTTGATTTTTTTTATGTAACACATGTTATTACAAATGTAACTCGCGTTGATGGAAAATATAACTTAAGTGTATACAGAATGTAACTTGTTGAAAAATTGAACAATGATTTTTTGCGTGTGTTTGAGAATAATATATATGTATATGTATTATAAACATTGATTTCAATGTAAACAATGCAAACTTGATCCTAATAGCCCAAATACTTTTTTTAAATAGTTAATGTGTTTTATTTTTAATATCAGGGCTATAAAAATGATATAGCAGGGGTTTATTTCTTGATGTAACTCGTCTAACTCGCGTACATTAAGATGCAACTTTAAAAATGTTGAAATGTGAGTTAGGGTTTTACAAAGATGCAACTCCATTATATATAAACCAATTAACTCCATCGATCAAAGCTTGTTAGATTAATCGGAGTGGAGAATTTATATTAATCCGAATTTTATATAACTCCAATAATCTAGCCAAACCCAGACAAATACTCTCTCCGTCTCCGAAAGAAGTTCTCACTTTCCTTATTTGGATGTCCCTAATTTAAGTTCTCATTTCCTTAAATGGAAAGTTATCTACATCTAAACAGTGCCAAACAGTTCAAAACAGTGTCAAACAGTGCCAAACAGTGTCGAAACAGTGTCAAAACAGTAAAATCTACCCCCTGATAAGTTTACTTGCATAAAAGTGTGTGAAAGTCAAATGGGGAACTTCTTTCGGGGAGGGAGGGAGTAGTAGATTTTCTCCTTCTAATTGTTTGCTCTCTTCCTTGAATTGAGTCATCAAATTGAATCGAGGCGGAGAGATGGTTGGGTACAGAGCACAAGATGAGTATGATTACCTATTCAAGCTTGTGTTGATCAGAGATTCTCTCGAAGTGGGTGTTTATTGTGCGGCACCCGATTTGAGTTTATGGAACAAAGAGTTGATCGCCTTTTAATTAATAAAACTGCATAGTTTTGGGATCGGTACACCATATGCATGGTGCACCGATCCCTATAATTTGTTGTGGTTTAGATATATTTTAAATGAAATACTTTAAAGACATGAATAAACCAATTACTTATTAACCTATCTTAAACGTTTCATTTAATGTGTAGTATATTTAAAATTAAGTGTTTCATTTAATCAGTAGAAAATGAAATAATTACATAAATGATTGAAATCATATAATGTTATCTCAGGCATACAGAGCGTAGAGGGTAGACTTGCTTTGAGCAAATGTAGTGACTATACTAGGAACTTAATCATATTAACTTAGGGCTCGTTTGGAAGTTTAGACGTTAAGTCTTTGCACACAAAATGATTACATGCAAACTTTATGGAAAAAATCGTTTTGCATGTAAAATATATAACATTGGTTGACTAGATATGCAATTTATTTTTTAATTGCGGGCAAAATATTTTACCTCCCTCCCCCCACGTAAAATATTTTACATGGTACAATGCGAAATGTTTTAAAAAAGTGTCCTACAGTTTACATTAAACAATTTAACCAAACAATGTAAATATTTTACGTTCTTACACTTTGCATGCAAAGTACTACGTAATTATTTTACATCCTACCAAACGCCCCCTTATATTCAAATTTTACACTTAAGTGACTAAAATTATACAGTGTTATAGTAATTATTAGTCATGTTTTTGTAATTAAGTTTCATTTCGGTTGTGTTTTATCTCATCTCATCTCAAGAAAAATATCATAACTTCTGGAAAAGTATACCATAATTCAGAGGCCGTTTCGTAACACTGAAATTGGCTGAATCGGCTGATTCTGTTGAAATTTATGAAATTCTAGCTGAAACGGCTCGATTAGCTGATTCTGATTATTTATGAAAAAATAAAATGAAAAAATATTTTATTAGTAAAATAAATAAATAAGATATACGAAAATAGTTAAAATTGTCCACTATAGTAATTTCAACCAATTCAGTCACAAAAGTAACTCTAACTTTACTTATTTTAATTATTACAAATCTAGTGTGCATTGATAAGGTACGTGAAAAAAGTTGGACGATAAGACTAATAAGCCAAAAAACAATATCACAAACAAGTTCTCAAAAAATTGAAGTGATTCAACCAAACATCAACAGTTTGAAAAGATGGCCATTTTAAAGTTTAAACGTTACCAAGTGGGCTCTATATGGGCCAATTAGTGAATCAATGAGCAGAAAAAGGGACACGAAACAGGTTTTCAAGTGATAGTATTAGTGATGACCAAGTAACAAAGAGAGGATGATGATCATTTAAGCTTGTCCTATGGTGGCATGACTGAATTGTATAATACAGAGTTAACACTGAAGACCTGGCAACAAAAAAAACAAGTAAAAATGACGTGTAGCTAATGGGTGAGGAATACTGATTGATAAAGAAAGAAAGGAAATGATGGGTGGGTAAATTAGTTGATTAGATAGCCACTGAATATTACTCCATATACCACGTACTCCGTATTAAGTGGAAACAGAAAAGAAGATAATTATCACCATGCATTTTTACCAAATGAAGAAAAATATCACCATGCATTTTTACCAAATGAAGGAAAATATCACTTGCTTCCCACTCACAGCCACACTTAGCCACCTAATTATAGGCAAACAAGTTCTTCTAAAACACAAATCAGCCAAATCTTTCTAAAATCCTACACCTACTTAGCCACCAAATATAGAAAATACATGTCAATATGTATATTCACATAATAACACTGTTATTATGCGGTGACACAAAAGATCCCCAAGTGGAAATAAGGAAACGGTTCAAACTTCAAAGTTAAACTTCTCCAGGATACACAAGGGATTAATCAAAACTACCCTTATTTGAGGTGGGATGGATGCTTTTAAAAAGGGATACTTTGGGGTGGTGGTGTGTGTTATACATCTACACAATTTGATTTCATAAATAAAGAGATTAGAAACTTCCTTTTCTAACCATTTGATGAAAAGTCATCCATGTATAAAGTTGCTTTCAACATTGTCATGAACTCACAATTTCAAAACTTGTAGCAGAAGAGGGAAAAGAAGATTGATTAGAAAAGAAAAGCCTCAAGCTAAACACAACCCTGTGAAATCCCCAAGTATCAGTTTTTCTATCTATCTCATTGGTTTGGCTAATTCAATTCCATACAAATTGCACATTGAAAAAAATCAGAAACATGAATATCAAGAAGACGAAAAATGAGGGCGTGGAGGAGGTAGCAATGGATGTGTCTGGGGCACCTGATTGGCAATGCCAGGATTACTACTATTGCTTGCAGGGCTGTTCTGCACAACGAAAGGGTGACTCAACAACTGCACAGCCGTCCATCGTTTATCGGGATCCCTCTGCAGACATAGCGCGATGAAGTTCCTGAACTCCCTTGAAGCCGTCGGTGGCGCCTCCGGTGGTCTGGACATACAAATGGCGCACATTAGGGAGGCCCAATCTCCTTGCCGGCCGACGTTGAAAGGAAATCTCCCCAAGTAGAACTCCAAGATGCTCACTCCCAAGCTCCATATATCCCCTGCATATCCATTGTACTGTCCATGATTCAGATCTGTGTTTATCCTCTCGGGGCTCATGTACGCGATTGTGCCGACAGAGGAGTTGCAGGGATCCATGGTTTGTGCGAGGATTCGGGAGACTCCAAAGTCAGCTATCTTCACCCTGCGGTGCGAATTGATGAGCAGATTGGAAGGCTTAATATCACGATGAACAATCTTCCGTCGGTGGAGGTAGCTGAGTCCGGATAAAATCTGGCGAGTTAGATCTGAAAGGGATGGCTCCTGCAGGATGTGAGTCCCCTCGAGCGATCCTTTGTCCATGTACTCGAGGAGCACCTGAATTTCGCCGTTATGATCGGACAGGCCGTGACATTTGACGACGTTGGGATGGTCGACATCGCGGAGGATCTCGATCTCGCGCCGCATCTGGAGGCGAACGGAGTCCTCGTGGTGGCCGTAAATCACTTTCAGAGCATAGAGCTTGCCGGTCGGACGGTGGAGGACCTTGTAGACCGTGCCGCCGCTCCCACTGCCGATGCGATTGATGCGCTCGAGCTCCGAGAAGTTGAGAGGAGTCGAGGGATCAGAAGAGGACGGCGACATGGAGGTGGAGGACGCGGCGGAGGTGGGAGGGAGAGGAAGCGGTACGGCTAATCTTGGGTCGCGTTGAGGAAGAGGGAGAGTTAGATCGGGTTTCCGGCGGGGTCGGTTGCGATTCACCGATGGCGATGCCGCCGCCGAAGAAGAGGAAGACGAAGAGTCCGGCGGGGCGAACGGTGGCGGTTGAAGCGACCGCATGATTGATTGCTGATCGGTTATTGAGAAAATGGGAAATGGATGGGGAAAAGTGGATACGGTTTTTGTTTAATTATTACGGAGTATGAAAGTGATAGAATAAAAAATAGAGAAATTCCTGATTTGTTTATCTTGATAACAATGTTCCGTTGGATGGTTATTCCGAGTATACTTTGACAGTTGGATAGCGCCTTATTTTTTAGTCACTTCTTTTTAGAGATTCATTTTTTATTTCTTGATTTTGTCATAAACTTTTTTATTCATCTTATTCTAAAATTTTCACAATTTTTATTTTTTATTCAATTTAGCCTTTTCACTTTTTAAAACTCAGGATATATCTATTGTATATGTAGAATTAGTGTTAACATTTTACAAATTTTGTTTTACAGAATATTATCAGTAACTTTTTTTCAGTTTTCCCTTTAAGAATTTGTTTCAATATTTTTTAAAAGGGAAAACTGTCAAATAGGTCCTCGAACTTTCATAAAAAAGTCAGTTAAGTCCTTTTATAAGAGACTCTGTCCGTCCGTCGCGATTTGGGCCGGATTCCAGTGGAATTTTTTGATGAAATTTTTTTAGCATCTTATTCATCAAGTCTGGTTTATTCATACCAAATTTGAGCTAAAAATTCAATCGGGAACGCATTCAAATTAATTTGAGAACGCAAAAATGCGCAGTTATTTTCAAGAATTAATTTGAATGTGTTCCCAATTGAATTTTTAGCCGAAGTTTGGTATGAGTAAATTAGACTTGATGAATAAGATGCTCAAAAAATTTCGTCAAAAAATTCCACCGGTAACCGCCCCAAATCGCGATGGCCGGACAGAGACTACTATAGAAGGATTTAATTGACCTTTTTATGAAAGTTCGAGGACCTATTTGACAGTTTTCCATTTTTAAAATTGTTTTTTCCCATCTAAACGTGTTCACTTTCTTTTCTGGAGTGTTTTTAATCGTGTTCACCTTTTTTACTCTTCAAAATTTGTTTTCACTTTTTATTTCTATTTGCGAGTATGTGTAATTTTACAACCTCCATTTATTATTGGCCTGTTTATTCCAATATTACTAAAAATAGGATAAAAGATAAAAAAGTGATATGTTTTTTAAAACTCCAAAAATGTGACCAACATCACAATTAACCCTACAATGCAAAGTGACTCCGGGCAAAGTGACTCCGGCTAAGTGACCCCACCAACCACAGTGACTACCCCGCCGCCACAGTGACTGTCTCGTCGCCACAGTGACTGTCCCGCCGCCACAGTGACTCCGATCAAAGTGATTACAATCGTCGTGACTTCCCGACTTCCGGCCACAGTGACTACCCACCAACCGGCCACAGTGACTTTAGTCACTGTGACTGCGGCCAAAGTCACTCAGCCATAGTGACACGCCGCCGCCGCCGCCCCAACCCTGAATCAACTCCCCAACCCCCTCCCAGTCCCCAGCCACCTCCCCAGCCCCCAACCACCTCAGCCAGGTCTTTCTCCAACCCAGACCGATACCATCACCCACAACATTTATCCCCAACCCCCAATCCGTCACTCCCCAACCTCCAGCCCATCACCACTGGCACAGATCTCAGCTCCTACCAACAGATCTCAGCCCCAGGTCTCAGCCCAAACACAGATCTGGCCCCCTCCTCATAAGCCCCCTCCACCAGCCATAGCGCACCTTACCCCTAGGGGTGGGATTTTGGAACCGGGAACCGTAGAACCGATTAGAACCGAACCGTTATCAACATCTAGGAACTGAACCGTTAACAATTCATGCTTCATTTGTAGGAACCGAACCGAAGCGGGTTATAACGGTTCGGTTCCCGGTTCCTATAAAAAATATGTGCATGGAACCGTTAAGGAACCGTTATTAAAAAAAAATAAAAAATAAAATAATATTAGTAGTAGTAGTAACAATAATAATAATATAATAGCAATAATAACCACCACCACAACAACAATAATAAAATAATATAAGATATTTAACTAACAATTCTAATTTAATCAACGGGAAAGAACTAAAAAATATTGTACATGAGGTTGATATATAATATATATTAAACTCCTTTCTACAAATTAAGTTTTGTTACATCACATAAATTTTATAAATATAAAATAACCCAAATAACTTGTAGTTGATTGCACATATTTTACTTTACTATTTTCATAATATTTCTAATTATTAGATTTATTATGAATCAATAGAATGTAATAATGTTTTTTTATATGTACACATGCAAACTCAATGTCTTTTTTTTTAATGTTTTGAAAGACTTGAAGTAGGCGTCCTATTCTTGCTACTATGATGACGAGTAACCTTCATCGCTCCAACACTACAACGATTTTTAATGTTTCATTTATTACATGAAAATTTAAATCACTTTTGTTCTATTAAGTGTTCAAAGTTCATTAGTTAAGTTTGAGCTTTGATGGTTGAAGTGATTAGAGCTTCAAATAAAATTTTAATACTCGTGTTTTGAATTTTCAACGTGTTTAAAATTATGTGTTAATTCTTAGACGAGAAAAAATTATTCTAGGAACCGGTAAAAGGAAGAACCGAACTGTTTACTACCGGTTCGGTTCCATAACGGTTCCTAATTTTTTATATAGGAACCGAACCGATTTCATTAGTTAAAACTTTTATAAAGGTTCCACTCATTTTGAGTAAGAACCGAACCGGCCCCGGCCCTACTTACCCCAGCGCCGCCCGAACCACACCCTAACCCACCCAGCGTCGCCCAACGGCATCACCGGCGAAACATCCTTGCACCAACAATTTGAAAGAGTCACAATAGATCTATAATTACAGCCACAGATCTGAAATTCGTCAATCAGCGCTATCCTTGAAGGGATGAGACGTATGAAGCCTGCAAACAACAACGGGGAAGAGGAGCAGCGAAGAGGAGCAGTGAAGAGATTGAAGTGTCGTAGTGGTGGTCGCTGTTGTCTTCGCGGGAGGTCGCCGTCGTATTCGCTGGAGGTCGTCTCGCCATCGTCTTCTCCAGCGGTCTTCTCGCCTTCCTCTTCTCTGGAGATCTTCTAGTCGTCGAAGTCTTGCTCCGTCCTCCATGTTCGTTCACAGAAGGAGAAGCGAAGAGGCAGAAGTTTCTTTTTTGAGAAGAGAGGCAGGCGTTTTTTTAGAAGAGGCGTGCGTACAGTCAGTTTCTTGGAAAAAATTAATCCGGTCATATTTTTAGAAATCAAAAACTCAATAGTAACATTCACGCAATTATTTCTTTATTATTTCCACTAAATAACTGATACTCCGTATAAGTCTACACCTGGTATTGATTCTTAGTTTACACTTATCAAACTAAGTTTGATTAAGTTTAATTGTATTTACATTTCAATTTTCAATTTAAGATCATTTAGACCCTGATGGAGTATATGGCCCGGGAACCCCCGGCCCACAGACTCCTTAATCTCCAACTCAGGCCCAACCAGCCCAAGGAGCACACCAGGCCCAAATATGGCGGCCCAAGTAAAGGAGTAAGAGCCCAAAACACACGCTGGGCTGCCCTCGGTCTCCTTGGCCGAGGGCTCCAAGTCACGCCAGGCATCCATAGACGAGCTCGCAAGGTCACTGGGAGAAAACGGCGCAAAAAGTGGCCCTCGGCTACCAGAAGCCCTCGGCACCCAATGGTAGCCCTCGTCTACCTAACACCCCTCGGCCACACACCACTGACCGCGGGTCCCGGGGATCCGCGAAGCTTCCTCTTGAGACAAGCAACCACCGCATTAAATGCCGCGTCACATCCAACCACCGCATTCAATGCGGAGCACATGCCCCTGCCGTTGCCACCCCGGCTGAACTGACCCTCAGCCGTCGGATTGTTGACACGTGTACTCCCATCGCATTTATTACTGCTATAAATAGCAGCCCCTTTTTCTTGTAAACGATCCCAACTCCACATCTCGAGTTCATTTAATAAATCGACTCTCTCTCCTCCTATTTGCTCTGACTTCTCTCTAGTTATCCCCGCAATAACCCCTCGGATAAGATACCCCCCGGGTAGACTATCCATCATTTGGTGCTCTCGTTGAGAGGTCTGAACTATCAAGTAAGAAACCCTCCCCCTCTACCAAATACAAAACACTTACCAAAAAATGGGAAGAACCACTCGTGCCCAATCCAAAACTCTGGAGGAGAACCACGTCGCCCCCGGCGAAACCAACGGGGCTGAGGCCTCCAACAGGCTCTTGGTACCCGAGGGTGGCATCATCCTCGAATTGGAGCAGGCTACTGCTGACCTCCGGCAGCAGCTACAGAAGAACGCCCCTGATGCCCGCATTGGCCTTGATAATCGAAGGAGGGATCGGAGTGAGAACCAAGTTCCCCCTCCGGCCCCGGCCATCGATCTTCAGGCTGCCTTTGCGGCCTTTGTTCAAAACATGGCTCTCAACTCAAGAGCCCTCGCCTCCCAGGCGCCCCTTCAGCCCCATGTTGGAGGGAATGTTATCCAACTGCCACCACTCCCTCCTTTGTTCAACAGTCCTCCCCCGGGGATTGGCAATGCAGAGGGGGTCATAGCGCAGGATACCGCCTCCCAAGAGGCCCAATCCAGGGACAAGCGCCCCATGATGAAAGAGAAACCCCGAACCTCTGTACTTGAGAGGCTTGGGGGAGCTCCCGGGCACCGAGGGGTCCAAGACCGCCTCGGGAAACAAGCATTCAGCAGGCCCCAGGAGAGTGGAGCCTCTGCTTCGGGCGCCGAGGGCGTGCCTCCCCCCCGAAGCAAGGGCAAAGCCCTCCTCCATGCCGATGACGCCAGGCACCAGATCAATCAGGCGCAATCCTTCCGGGCCAGCTCCCAAGGGGTTGCCCCGAAGGATCCCAAGGACGAAATCATTGAAGCCCTCCTCCGTCAACTCGAGGAGAATCGACAGGCGCCCCCGACGGCTTCCACGGCGAGGCCAGATCCAGAGTACGCCGACCTCCGGGCGCAAGTGGAGGAAATGAAGCGTAAGCTTGCCGAAGGCTCAGGCGAGCCCCTCATCCAACTCCGCACTAGGACGCCTTTCACCCCAAGGGTGCTGGCGGCCAAAATCCCCCATAAATATCGGGGGCAGCCCATCAAACCATACGAGGGGAAAACAGATCCCCAAGAACACTACAGCAGGTATCA